CTGTGGGAAGACAGGCAGGGGCGGGAGGTGGGGGTGGGGGGAGAGAGAGAGAGAGAGACAGACACGGTGAGGACCCTCAGGCTCTGGTGGTGTGGCTCAGAGGGTAGAGATATACATTTTTAAAGGATGTTTTTCAGCCCTAGCTGGCGTGGCTCAGTGGGTAGCGATATATATATATATTTTTTATTTTATTTTATTTTATTGATTTTGTACAGAGAGGAAGGGAGAGAGACAGAGAGTTAGAAACATCGATGAGAGAGAGCCATCGATCAGCTGCCTCTTGCACACCCCCTACTGGGGACGTGCCCGCAACCAAGGTCCATGCCGTTGACCGGGAATCGAACCCGGGACCCTTCAGTCCCCAAGCCGACGCTCTATCCATTGAGCCAAACCGGTCTCGGCTATATTTTTTTTTTTAACGTGTTCACTGAGCGGGACCTATCAATACGTCCAACGTAAACAATATCGGGAACGGGTAGGACGTATGCATACGTCCTTGAACTATATGTTACACCCTGAGAGGGACGGTAATATATTTTTTTTTTTGTAATCGTTATCATGGTTTGTAAAATGTATCATATTTTTTAAAAAATATATTTTTATTGATTTTTTTTTTTTTTTTACAGAGAGGAAGAGAGAGGGAGAGAGAGAGTCAGGACACATCGATGATGAGAGAGAGAGAGAGACATCGACCAGCTGCCTCCTGCACGCCCCCCCCCCCGACTGGGGATGTGCCCTCAGCCACCAAGGTCCATGCCCTTGACCGGGAATCGAACCCGGGACCCTTCCGTCCGCAGGCCGACACTCCATCCGCTGAACCACGCCGGTTTCGGCAAATTTATAATTTTTTAATTCGATGTTTCCATTTTTTGTTGTTGTTGGTGGTGGGGGGGGTGGGGGTATTCGTTTCGATTGGGTTTGTAACATCGTATTTTCCTTTGTGCTTTAGAATATCAATAAACGGAAAAAATATATATATTTCATTGATTTTAATTAAGTGATAAATAAGAAAGAATAATAATAATCCTATGGAATCCTATGGAGGATGCTTATTCAGCCCTGGCTGGTGTTGCTCAGTGGTTAGCGCGCCGAGGCCAATGCAAACGGACGTAAGGAAGGGGCCCCCCCGGATACGATTTCAAGGTCAAGGGCACAGGTACAGGGTTGTGGGTTCGATCGCCAGGAGGTAAGACCGGTGGACTCAAGGGTCCCGGGTTCGATTCCCGGTCAAGGGCACAGGCCCGGGTTGCAGGATCCATCCCCAGTAGGGGGCGTGCAGGGGGCAGTTGATCCGTGGTTCTCTCTCCTCGTGGATGTTTCCCTCTCTCTCTCTCTCTCTCTCTCTCTCTCTCTCTCTCTCTCTCTCTCTCCTTTTCTCTCTAATATATATATATTTAATACATATTTTATTGATTTTTCACAGAGAGGAAGGGAGAGGGAGAGAGAGTCAGAATCATCGATGAGAGAGAGAAACATCCATCAGCTGCCTCCTGGGGTTCGAGCCTGCCATGGAGGGATGTGCCCTTGACCGGAATCGAACCCGGGACCCTTCGGTCCGCAGCCTGATGATGCTCTATCCACTGAACCAGACCAAATAGGGCAACTTTGCTGTTTTATTGAGGCCCGGTGCACGAATTTGTGCACGGGTGGGGTCCGTCGGCAATGGGGGATTATGGGTATTGTCTTGCCCAGTCCCAATCAGGGTTGGCCAGCCAGGGAGAGGGACCTTGGGGGGTTGGCCAGCCATGGGAGTTGGCTGTGGGAGTGCTCTGACCCCCAGAGAAAAGTTCCTGCATCGAGCATCTGCCCCCCTGGTGGTCAGTGCACGTCATAGAGACCGGTCGACCGGTTGTGCTATTGATTAGGCTTTTATATATATAGTTGATGTGAAAACGATATTTCACAATGGCCGGCCGGCCAGGGAGAGGGACCAATGGGGGTTGGCTGGCCACAGGGGTTCCTGCATCGAGTATCTGCCCCCCTGGTGGTCAGTGCACGTCATAGCGACCGGTCGACCAGTTGTTCGGATGCTTAGGCTTTTATATATATAAGTGATGTGAAAATGATGTTTCACAATGGCCGGCCAGAGAGAGGGACCATGTGGAAGGGAGAAAAGGGAGGTTGACTGTGGGAGCACGCTGACCAGCAGGGGGCAGCTCCTGCATGGAGCGTCTGCCCCTCTGGTGGTCAGTGTGTGTCATAGCAACCGGTCGACCGGTTGTGCTATTGCTTAGGCTTTTATATATATAGTTGATGTGAAAATGATATTTAACAATGTTGGCAGGCCAGGGACAGGGACCACTGGGGGTTGGCCGGCCACGGGGGTTGGCTGTGGTAGTGCTCTGACCCCCAGAGGGCAGTTCCTGCATCGAGCATCTGCCCCCCTGGTGGTCAGTGCACGTTATAGCAACCGGTCGACCAGTTGTTCGGATGCGTAGGCTTTTATATATATAAGTGATGTGAAAATGATGTTTCACAATGGCCGGCCAGAGAGAGGGACCATGTGGAAGGGAGAAAAGGGAGGTTGACTGTGGGAGCACGCTGACCAGCAGGGGGCAGCTCCTGCATGGAGCGTCTGCCTCCCTGGTGGTCAGTGTGTGTCATAGCAACCGGTCGACCGGTTGTGCAATTTCTTAGGCTTTTATATATATAGTTGATGTGAAAGCGATATTTCACAATGGCCGGCAGGCAGGGACAGGGACCACTGGGGGTTGGCTGGCCATGGGGGTTGGCTGTGAGAGTGCTCTGACCCCCAGGGGGCAGCTCCTGCATGGAGCATCTGCCCCCCTGATGGTCAGTGCATGTCATAGCAAGCAGTCTCTCGGTTGGTTAGGCTTTTATATATATAGGTGATGTGAAAATGATGTTTCACAATGGCCAGCCGGCCAGGGAGAGGGACCAATGGGGGTTGGCTGGCCACGGGGGTTGGCTGTGGTAGTGCTCTGACCCCCAGAGGGCAGTTCCTGCATCGAGCATCTGCCCCCCTGGTGGTCAGTGCATGTCATAGCGACCGGTCGACCAGTTGTTCGGATGCGTAGGCTTTTATATATATAAGTGATGTGAAAATGATGTTTCACAATGGCCGGCCAGAGAGAGGGACCATGTGGAAGGGAGAAAAGGGAGGTTGACTGTGGGAGCACGCTGACCAGCAGGGGGCAGCTCCTGCATGGAGCGTCTGCCCCCCTGGTTGTCAGTGTGTGTCATAGCAACCAGTCGACCGGTTGTGCTATTGCTTAGGCTTTTATATATATAGTTGATGTGAAAACGATATTTCACAATGGCCGGCAGGCAGGGACAGGGACCACTGGGGGTTGGCTGGCCATGGGGGTTGGCTGTGAGAGTGCTCTGACCCCCAGGGGGCAGCTCCTGCATGGAGCATCTGCCCCCCTGATGGTCAGTGCATGTCATAGCAAGCAGTCTCTCGGTTGGTTAGGCTTTTATATATATAGGTGATGTGAAAATGATGTTTCACAATGGCTGGCCGGCCAGGGAGATGGACCAAAGTGAGGGGGGGGTGGCTGTGGGAGCACACTGACCCCCAGGGGGCAGCTCCTGCATTGAGCATCTGCCCCCCTGGTGGTCAGTGCATGTCATAGCAACGGGTCAACCAGTTGTGCTATTGCTTAGGCTTTTATATATATAGCTGATGTCAAAACAATATTTTACAATGGCTGGCCGGCCAGGGAGAGGGAACAATGGGGTTTGGTCGGCCATGGGGGTTGGCTATGGGAGCACACTGACCACTAGGGGGCAGCTCCTGCATTGAGCATCTGCCTCCTGGTGGTCAGTGCGTGTCATAGCAACCGGTCAACCAGTCGCACGATTGCTTAGGCTTTTATATATATAGGTGATGTGAAAACAATATTTCACAATCGCCGGCCAGAGAGAGGGACCATGTGGAAGGGAGAGGAGGGAGGTTGACTGTGGGAGCACACTGACCAGCAGGGGGCAGCTCCTGCATGGAGCGTCTGCCTCCCTGGTGGTCAGTGCACGTCATAGCAACCAATCGACTGGTCATTCGGTTGCTTAGGCTTTTATATATATAGTTGATGTGAAAATGATATTTCACAATGACCGGCAGACAGGGACAGGGACCACTGGGGTTTGGCTGGCCATGGGGCTTGGCTGTGGGAGTGCTCTGACCCCCAGGGTGCAGCTCCTGCATCGAGCATCTGCCCCCCTAGTGGTCAGTGCACGTCATAGCAAGCAGTCTCTCGGTTGGTTAGGCTTTTATATATATAGGTGATGTGAAAACAATATTTCACAATGGCTGGCCGGCCAGAGAGATGGACAAGGCAGGTGGGGGTTGGCTGTGGGAGCACACTGACCACCAGGGGGCAGCTCCTGCATTGAATGTCTGCCCCCTATTGGTCAGTGCACGTCATAGTGACTGGTCGACCGGTTGTTCGGATGCTTAGACCTTTATATATATAGTTGATGTGAAAATGATATTTCACAATGGCCGGCCGGCCAGGGACAGGGACCACTGGGGGTTGGCTGGCCATGGGGGTTGGCTGTGGGAGCACACTGACCACCAGGGGGCAGCTCCTGCATTGAGTTTCTGCCCCCTGGTGGCCAGTGCACGTCATAGCGACCGGTCAACCGGTCATGCAATTGCTTAGGCTTTTATATATATAGTTGATGTGAAAACCACATTTTGCAATGGCCAGTTCGGAAAGCCATTATCAACGTGTGGAGCGTCCGTCTGTTTGGAAAACAAACTGACAAACAGACGCAGAAGAAGGCCAGCCCTTTCCCCATCCCTCACCCCCTGAAGAAAAAAAATAAAATAAATGTTCCACCAATACGATACACACATGTTGTAGTTCCCCAACAGAACGCAGACCAGAGACCCACAATGCAACGGGAACTCACAAAAAAATCACATTCGGGAGGGAGACAAAAAAAAAAGGAAAAAATAGAGGGAAAAAAAAAAGAAAGATAGAAAAAACTTAAAAAAAAAAAAAAAACTAGAACAAGAACAACAAGAAGTGGATTTT